AAAGAGCCTTAGAAATACAGGGCTCAGGTTTTCAAAAGGCAAAGCCAACGTGTGACCTTGTGAGACCACCTAACCCTGGGCAGCCTGGCCTCGTCAGCACTAGTGCTGGATGCTCACTGAGAGCCTCCTTGCAGGAAATGTTGATACAGCAATTCCAAATGCTAAACTGCTGACATGAAGAGAACTGTATGATGCAGGCTGCTGTTGTGTAGATGTGCAAACAGCAGTTTCATGTTTAAGCCACAGCACACACACAGATGGAATGGCAAGAGCCCACAAGCCAGAACACGATGAGGTAATTCCTATCCATCTTCAGGGAGGAAAAAAGACAGAGACCACCCATGGCTGACTGGTCAACCCATGGACCTTAGGGATAATATCCAGCCTCCCACCCTACCTCAAAGCAAAATCACTCAGGAACACTAAGTAAGAAAGGAATGTTAAAACATCCCTATGTTGTCTTCTCCAATGTGGTTTTTTTCCTTAAGACTGTACAGTCTTCTTAATTCATAGCCAACACAATGGAGAACAGTTTTCTGTAGAAAAAGCTTTAAGGGTACCAGACACTCTCCTTCTACATGTAAAAGTATCATTCTTGTTGGTTTCATTTCAATGCTATTCAGTTTGTTTACATCTCTCAAAATGCTACGGTCATTTGAGGCTTCACCAGCATTCAGGTTTTCCTCTCCAGGTATTCACAAATTCTTCTCTTGCAATAGTCCATGAAGTTGTTTACTACTTTTACAATCCTATCACTTTTAAGACACCTGTAACTTGTGACTTGACAAAAAAGGTCTGTGTTATCCTGTTTTTCAAATTTATCAAGGTGATTTTCAATTCTGAGCATGTCCTTTAAAGCATCTACGACTGCTCCCAGCTTAGTATTAATAAAAATTCAGATGGTTTAATCAGTTTTAAGACCTCCCTCACTTACTGAATATATATATTTTTATAGTAAGATGACTGACATGATATTTATCAGATTCAAAACAAACAATTTGACTGATTCATAGCTATTGACTATGATTTATTATCTACAGTAGGAGGGAAAAGAAATATATCAGTGGAATATAAATGTAAGCATATTGTGGTGTGGAACCACAACATGCTTACATTAACACTGATGAACAAGAAAAGCTGCAACCCTGCATTACTACTAAACACATCTGGAGATTATCACAAACCATCTTTTCAAGTTTTACCCTCCATTTCAAATTATTTTATAATGACACAATACAAAAGTGACAGTCTAAATGCTTGAGTTTTTTAATTATTAAATCCATTTAAAATGTTTCAGAGCATGTTCCAGCACACTTAGGGAACTCTGTACACAGTTTAAACACACTCTAAAGCCATCAAAAATTGTAAGAGTTCTTCAACTCATTTTCAGATATTTCCTCTGCCATCTTCAATTATTCTACAAGTTAATGCTTTAGATGAGTGACAACTTCTCTTCAGCATTATTCAGACATTTACCACAGTTCATATCTTCTTGGTTATGTTCCACCATAGTCAAAGGTCTTCAGAGTTGTGTAAAATAATTACAAGCTTTTAAAAATACCCTAATCAAAACAGAGTAATTTTGAATTTTAAAAAAACTTCAAATGCTGTACCTTAACACACTTCTCCACAAATGAAATAATTGTGAGAGGTCCTTTCACTGAAGCCCAGGTATTTTAGAGAACTTTGCAGACCAGAATCAATCTTCTGGCATCAAACAGCCTATGAATCCAGAATATACTCCTAGAAGTCATTTTCTCTCTTGCTATTTTTGTAGCTTAAATATATCTATAAAATAGTTAATGTGCTTAGGAGTATTATCCTTCTTGCTCTGCTCTCACCAACTAATGAGATTAGTTGTGTGTCCATGTATGTGTGTTCCTTTTTTCTCTTAATACATATGAATTGCTTTATGTCACTGTAGACAATAGTGTTTTCTTTTCCACGTGAATATAGACTGAATACTCTTAAAGGATTCATTTTCTGGTTTCTCCTTTCTTCTGGCCTTTCTTAGACGAGGCTTGAGCTCCAACTATGAACAAATGACACTGGAGACCACCTCATTTGATACAAACATTCTACATGGAGCCAAAGGTCTCTTCTGTAATGATAGCTCAGTCAGATTATTTAACAAACCACACAGAAAAATTAGGAATCATAATTAAAAAGAGATAATGCAAGTACAGTTCAATCCATCTCAATTGATGGGTCTCTGCTGTACCACAACCTTTTAGAAGGAAAAGTGATAAAGACCACAAGCAATAGAGAATTACCACAATTGCATATTATCCAAATGTGAATTTGTCAGATGTGGTCCCAGAGAACCCAATCTTTCTCTCACCTCATGGAGGCAGCCAGAGCTACTAAATGTTTTGGGGTTTTTTTGTCTTTCAAGGTACCTGTCCATTTCTGCACACAGGCACCGATGTTAATAACCTGGTAGCAGCACCTTAGGTAACCAGTTATTCTCCTATCACATCTTACAGAAACAATTGTGTATTCTGTATTCTGTGATGAAAAGAAAAAATACAGTTTCTAAAAGTTCTACATTACTGCACACAACCCTTTGGATTTGGGAAAAATATGTCTGGGAAGATGCTGGCTCCTCCCTACTTTGTCTGTATTTTGTTAACTCCTTCAAATGAAGACACTTTAGTCCATTTCTCTATTGAAACCTTTCTTGTATTTTGACTGCCAAAAATGCAGGTATTTGCTCAGTATTTGCAATTAGAACTGCTGCTACAAATAAATTAATATTTTTAGAATACTTAAGCAGATGGTTTTCCACCCTTTGAAGAAACCATGTAATTGAACCTGACTGCCTGCAAAAGCAGTAACAACTCTCACTCAAAGAGTGGGACAGCTAATGTAGATTCTTACCCTGTAAGCAGCTCTGCCAATAAACTAATACTGGCCTCCAGTTCTCATCCTACAAGACCAGAACTCATTTTTACTTATGCACAACTACTGGTCTCCTAAGTTAAAGGTAATTCTTATGGGCAAATGAAATCCAGAAAAAAACCCTGAAGATATTTATTGGTTTTGAACTTGTGACACTAGGTACCTGCATGTCACTTACAGGTGAAAATCAAGTGCATTGATTGATTATTCAGCTAATCCAAAAGGAGGTATTGGTAATTATGTGCTCAAAAAAACCCCCAAAAACAGGCCAGCCAGAGCCACAAGCTATCGTAATACGTGGCTTGTGGCTATCCCACTCCCAGCTACACAACCCATTACACACCTTTTCATTCTGTGACTCAGCACTTATGCAAGCACCAACCCAAACCAGGCCACCCTGCACAGTTCTTTTCCAAACAAGGTGAGAGAGGGTGCACATGAACAGCCAGCCTCCCAAAAGAATCAAAGATCAGTCCAGATGTTCAATGGAAGATATGTCAAATAAACCAGTACCATTCCAAATTTAGTTGAACTGAATTAGCTGAAGACTGTCCATTATTTAGCTAAATTAAGTTACAACATTTTTTCAACAATTTGGTCTCACATATTAAAATTTCAATTAAGATGTTGTCAAATTCACACTATTTGAAGGCTCTTGTGAAAGAATCATATTTAACTCTGTATTGCAAGCTAATGACATCAGTGCCAGCAGGGCAGCAATCTGCTGCACCCACAAGAGAAAGGAAGCACTCCCATCCTACCATCTCTGGGATGACACACAAAAACCCTAGACCTAGAAGGACACATTCCCTCAAAAACAAAACAAATGAAAAGACAGGCCAAAAAGCCAAACCACCCAAACCCAAGAGAATTGAGAGAGAGGCTGGAGGGCAGTAAGACTGACTTTTTGAATACCTACCCTGTCCAATTGGCCCACACTATGACCAGTCTCTCACCCACCACAAAATTAATTTCTGAATCAATTCAATGGCTTAACTAGAGCTGTGCTTAACACTGGATTTTGCCCTTTTATGAGATGAGGTAAGAAAAAAGATGGAGCTCCCTTCACAATAAGTATACATACATGTTACCTGCTGTGAGTCTCAATGTAATAACTATGATTTACATCTGTTCTAAATGCAAGCATTCCTAAATCTCCTTTTTTGCCTTAATAAAAGCTGCAATACAGAAACACACATGAACTTGCAGCATGGCAAATACCAGTGTCAACAAGTGTACTCCCTTTATGGACAAGCCATGCAGCTACATGTTAGCTGTTGCAGAGGAAAGAGTGCTTTTGTTTAATTCCTAAGTTGATAGAGATCCATTCTGGTGCTGTTTTACATTGTGCAGGAAGAAGCAGTAGTTACAAATTCCAGTAAATGAAGTTCTGCCAAGACAGATGATCCCTCCTTTCTTCCTATGTTATAGAACAATCACAATTTCAGTATGTGGGCTGAACAACAATCAGTATAGCACCATAGCTTTTGTTTTATATACAACTATGACCTCCTTAAGAAAATGAACTGCAAGTTTATTGTGCTTGCAAACCTGACTTGTCCATGTTTAGTTCTGACTTCATTATGAACAAGCACAGTACAAAATCTACCATGCACAAGAGCACTTTAATAAAAGGATATGGCCCACAGGGAAGAAGATTCCAAGACACAGAACAAGATTCTAGACTGTTAAAACAGACCACTGAAGATAAGCCCACCATCTGACCGTAGTAAACATGCACGAGCCACAGTATGGCTCCCTTGGGGAGGGTTTCATGATTCCCAACAAGATCCCTTACAAAGAACTCAGGAAAACCCAAAACAAATAAAAAAACACCAAACAGAAAGAGCTAATGCACAGGAAAAAAAAAAAAAAAAAGAAAGAAACCCAGCACCTGCATTACATGCTACAAAGAAAAAGTTGCAGAGAAAGAGGCAAGTCTGTTCATTAACCTGCATATTTTAATTTGGAAAACCTTTTTCCAAAGGAGAAAGGGGTAGGAGGTTGCAGATTTTCCATATTCAGTTAACTAGGAGCAGCAAACTCCCTCCCTTTGTCCCTCCCCTACAACTACTAGCTTCACACATCTGCATTGTTACCTTCACTTTTTCTCTTCTCAGGCAGCAGAAAAGACAATTTTCATCAAAAGACCAATCAGAAACACCTTCAGGCTCACAGTCTGTAAATCAGAAGAATAGCAAATTACTTCATATTCATAAACCACAACACAACTGGAGCCAAAAGAGAAATGCTGAATTAAATACCTGTTTCACAACATTCTTGCCTGCTTTCTGAGGATTCAGGCTTCATTTCGGCCATTTTTCTAAATCCCCAGATTACCAACCTATATACATTTTATCTATGCACAACAAATCTGTTTTTCTGAGCACTGCAAAATACACTCCCAGCTACATAAAGATGAACGCACACTCATTAGTAATTTTAGCCAATATGAAACTAACTGTGAGCACTGCCTGGGGGAGGGGGAAAAAAAAGCACAAATCACCACGGTAACACACATTTTCTAGAGGCAGAGCTGAGGCTGCTTCTGTCATTAGAAATGCAGAACAAGATACAAACATAGAGATTGAATACCTTTAAACAAACTGAGATCTTTTAATAATCCAGGTCCAAACAGGCCTTCTAGAATACTTTCAAACCCTAAAAGCAAATAAAAGAATTGTTAGCTTTCTAGATTAGTACGTCACTATAATATTCACAATAGCAGTTCTATATTTATCTGTTCCAAGAACAGAGCTCAACACGTTTTCTCCAAGTATTACAAGATACGCAGGTCAATTGTGATGACTGAACTACCAGTAAATCATAGCACAATCTAGAGTCCACCGACTCCTGTACTTTTCTAAGTAGCTAGGTTAAAAACAAAGAACATTGCAACATTTAAATAAACCATTTTGAAAAGAAAATAGGAAGCTGCAGGTTCTACAACACACCGGAGTAATTTCTACACAAATAAAAATACTCTTATTTAAGCCTCCGAAGTGAAAGAAGGTACATTTTCCCAATTTAAAAAATACATTCTTCCATCTCAGTGGCATTCCGTTACTTTTCTGAATTTCAGTAAACATTAGAAGCAGTATTTCCTCAAGAACTGCCGTTTTGAGGAAGGAAAATTAAAAGGAGAAGGATTCGGCGTTGCCATATCAGTAAGGAATGAAATTTCAATCACAGCTCTGCTCCAAGACACACACAGCCCGATTTACTTCAATGCCACGATTTATACCTCACTTAAAAGAGATCTAACCAATCTCAGTTTATTCCAGAAGAGGAAAAACGTGCACCAAAATTACTGCCATTATTTGGAAAAGTTAAATCAATATTACACTAACCCCCTGCTGGCAGTAAAAAATCTACAGAGCTATTAACTACCCAGTACTGTGAGAAGATGGGTTAGCAGAGTGAGTATGAAAAGTACAAAGATTACTTTAAGGGTGATAGACAAATTCCACCTTATAAAAATGTAATGATCAGAAAAATTCAAGACTATAACTTACTATACTGCCTGCCCTTCCCTCCCCCCTCCAATACTTTTTGCTTTGTAGCTTTAACAATGGTTTGCAAGTAGCTAGGGGCTTCTAGCTTCTCCTACTTCCTTGAGTCTTTGAGTGGCAGAAGAGGAAACAAAAAACAAATTAAGGAAGAAAAATATGGTCTTAAATTTAGAGAAACTTGCATGAGTGAATCAGGGACAGATAAACTACCCAAAATAGAAATGTTTAAGATATCAGTCAAAATCTAAATGATCATGTACTATGAAGGAAATAGTTTATTACACTTCAGAAGAGCAGTAATTCTAAAATAATTCCGACTTCATCCAGATCTAATATCTAAGTTATGTTTTGGAGAGCAGTCTTCAAAAGGAAACGACAAATAGTGTTTCACCCCTCTGGGAGTCAGCAAGAGTGTCATGCACCAGCATCTTCAGTGATCAGATGCAGGATGCTACAGAATTTGCAGGGTGCAACATGACTTAGACAGCAAAAGCATTGCTGAGGTACAACACCTAAAATATCATCTTGGAAAGGACCAAGAACCAAAAAAAAAAAATAAATTAAAAAAAAAAAAAATCCCGTGAAATAACAGTCAAGAGTAAAGAGAAATCAGAAAACAAGGTGGAAGAGGAGAAACTGGAAACACATCCCATGGAACAGCACCTTGTCAGGCAGAGAAGTAGCACTGCCTCCAAAAAAAGCCAATTCAGGCTTCAGGAAGTGGCAGGAACAGTGGGAAAGGGCCGACCAACCTGACCTAGAAGAAAAATAGGAGAATCAGGGTATTGACCCATAGGTTTATAACGTTGAATAGTTCACAACGTTTTTAACATATGGGTAGAGACCCTCAGAATTTGACTCTGAAATGAAACCTGAAGGAAAATAGCTAACCAACCTTGTTCTTGATCTTTTTGTTTAAAACTTCTATTTTATATGTGTGTATATATATATATTGTGTGTATATATATTTAAATAAAAATTTTTTAAAAATCAGAAATTTTACTCAAACTCATCAATCTTTTAATAGTAACTGCCAGTGACTCATGCCCCACAGTTTGCCATGCATGCAATTGCACCCTGAGGTCCCTGCCAAGTTTTACAGCTTGGATATTGTACGATCGTAGTTTGCTAGCCCACTGTTCTGAGTGATGCTAATGCCACTCGGGTTTTATTAATATTAAATATTGGATTTAGCAGTTGCATAGCAACAGCAGAACATCTTATGTGCAATGTTTGACATTAAAAAAGGCAAATAAGGGAAGTATGAATGTATTCAAAAATTATACTAGAGACTGGTGAAACTGCCATAGAGCTGAGCCCTATTCCCCCCAAATGCAAAGTGCAATGCAGCAAAAGCAGTTTAAGCCCTGTGATGTTGTGTTCACTCATTCAGGGCTCCAAAAGAGCAACTGTGTACAGTTAATCATGCAGAATACATTGAAAACAAAATCTTGAAAAAGGAGCTGCCTACTTTTTTATAGTATTTTTTCTCTCCATTGTCACTGCTCTTAGAAGCTTGAAAAGAACATTTCTTTTCCCACCGATTGTCCTTTTCCATTTGGCAGATGATATTTTCCTGCATTTCAAATGGAACAGAAATTAATATGGCTCCCTCTGCTAAATTCCAGTTCCTATATTTTCATCATCTGTATTTCAGTGTCTGATAGTTCACAGCAGCTGAAGAGCAGAGCCAGTGGAAAAGTTGCAGGAATTACAGAATTAAAGAAAGAAAAAGAAAGAAAATTCCAGTATTTTAGAAATCAGTATTAGATTTTCAATATCAGTTGTTTTTAGATCTCTGATATGCTCTTCACAATCAAAGCAGTCACATATTTAACTCTCACAAATGTTACTGGTGACCTCTCCAATGAAAAACATTTTCTGGATGTTAGCATAACAATTTAGAAAAAAATATTTTAATTTTAAAAACCGTACTGAATTTATAAAGTGTAAAACATCTCTCTTTTCTAGAAGACTCTCTAGGAAGTGAAGAATTTGAAAAAAATAATCCCAGAACAAAGAAAGAAAGCCCTTAGTACTGAAGCAAGGGTGAAATAACTTTTTAAATGCAGAGTTGTTACACACTTATTCCTATTTCACAACAGTTAAACTGTAAACAAGTAAAGCCTCCCCTAAAACATCCTCTGGTAAAAATCAGAATATATATGTGCCATTTTTCTGCTAAGGGTAGCAAGGAAAGAAATTAAAACTAAAGAGAAGAGGGGAAAAAAAAGTTGACTATGCAGTCTTCAGCATTATCAATTTCCACTAGTTTTGTCTCCGTACCTAAACAGTTTTATTTTCATCTCTTCTTGGCATTTTTACCCATCTGTAACCAAATATTTTGTCATAAATTTAAACTCTAATTGTAGTTTGATGGCTAATGGTGTAAGACAACAATGTAACATAACAGTTAAATTTAAGCTTTGCAAAGGGAAAGAAAACTAAAACAGTTAAGCCCTCATGTCACCTTCTCCCTTAAAACCAGAACCCTTGTGATCATTAAGTAGCTGCAGGCTCCTTGGGATAACAGTATCTAGTAACACAGATTAGCCAAAGACATATTGTCTGCTACAAAAACAGGAATGCCAGATCTTCAGAAAAAGATAGGGATGCACTTCTGGAGTGCCACTGACACGGAGCCTAGCATGTCAAACAATGCTTTTTTCCCCCTCAAGACAGCACAGGTCAAATATACCTTTGAATAGTCACTACATAATTCAGCCCTAGATATGTATCTAGTCAAAGCAGTAAAGCCTGACTTGAACTTACAGGTACAAATCACTTTGGGGGAAGTAAAAAACCACAGACTACTATTGCTCTGAATGCATTATTACATACATTGTTAATAACTCAAAAAAAAATCAAGATAGCAAGGGCAGAAAATCAAAACCAGCATACATAGTTGTCAACTCCTCAGCCCTTATCTGTGCATATCAATTTAATCGGTGAATATCAATTTATAAACTAAACCTCAACAGACTTAATGAGTACTACCAAGGCCAGCAGTTAAGTACAGTAGGTCATAGAACCAGAGAATCAGAATATCCAGAGTTGGAAGTGATCCACAAGGATCAAATCCAACTGCAATGGACCAGTTGCAACAGAAATTAAGACAAGTGACTAATCAGCATTTATTTATAATAAACAGCCAAATATATAGCAATTTGCACATTAAAAGGACAACTTCAAAAAGCTGGAAATTTAGTTAAGTCACTTAAGACATTAGTTGACTATATATTTTGTTTAAATTTCTTAACCATCTAAGAACATATTAGAAATCATCAAACCCATGGGGGAGAAAATCTGACCTGCTAAATGGGGCAAAAAAAATTAAAAACCAACAAAACCCAAAGCCAAGTGACTAGGAGTAAAAGCACAAAGAGGAGACAAGCAGTTGGGTGATGGGCAGGAAGATTCAGAGCAGAGAAGATAAATCAACTCAGAAATGTTGCAAAAGTCAGAAAGGAGATGCAAACAGCTTTAAAGTAAGCAAAGATAAAATCAAAACCAAGGCACATACAGAATGGAATTTCTAGATAACATATGTAGGAATATGGTAGTATATTACAAAACATTCAATAGAATGGCATAAAATCATTCAACAAAATCTATCAAGGTGGTGTTACTAACATTTTTAAGTTAATTAATGTAACTTAATATTCAATGGATGTGTGCTGGTTTTCTTTCTGTGAGTTACTCAGAGTATTTGCAGCAGTGTTTAATTCCAGAAAGTCCTGAAATATTGTGGAAGTCCCAAAAAAAAAAAAGAAAAAAAAATTCACTTTGAAATGTCACAACATTAAACACATTAGTACCACAGTCTCAAACTGGTAAAGGTTTTGAAAACCAATTAATAGTTCTCAGGAATTGACAGCAAAAATGGTGTCAATCAACATGGGCTTACAGAAATTCTTATTAGAGTCTTACAAAACAAAAATTTTAATTAACAACAGGTTTGATACAATATTTTTAGACTTTTGGGCTGGCATGACACATCTTGATTAAAACCAGATATTTTAAAAAACCCCAGAATTAAAAAAAAAAAAATCCCTAAGCCAAACCAAAGAAAAAAAAATCAGTCAAATAAATACAAAACATTAAAAATCAATTAAGTGACAGCTTTTGAAACATTGGTGGCAGTGAG